AGAGGAAAATCCTCTGCCCCCATCGGGGATCGAACCCCGGTCGTCCAGCACGTAGCTAGTCACTATACTGACTGAGCTATCCCGTCTCATCCATGCTCCATGTAGTTACACAAATATATATTAGGCACTACGTAAAAGACTTCTCTTCGTGCCATGACTTCAGTTTTCCTCTTGGGCAGGTTTATTTTAAGTTGGCCCCTCAGCACCGAGGCACGGAGGAAGCAGACGGTCTATTTGTTCGGCAGATCTCTAGAATACACAGAGACACGGACTGCTCTGGTCGATATGTCCAATGGAAGGTCCTGTGGGATACAATGTGATCGATACAGGACTGATTGTACGCTGTGAATACTAACAGCGTGTCCTCGCTAGTAAGGACAGCAGCGACTAACGTCAGCTTTCAGAATTCTTTATTCGTTCTGGAAAGACCGATCGGTTTCAGTTCAACGTTGCAGAAAGTCGTACAATCAAGTCGAATGTTACTTTCAACATTGTCCATAGTCTTGATTATTTGATAAAAGCCACAACGTTTAGGAGACTTTTTCTACCTCCGTCATGAGGTTAAGGTAAGGAGAAATGGGTTCCTACGCTATTGGGGATATTTTAGACGGGACTAGGTCCAGTGATGCTGACTGTGATGGGCGTTTCAATCCCACCATTTTAAATTATCTAAAAATAATCAAATGTTGTTTCACAGGTCTCTGAATTTTTGTGGAAGCAATTCCTCTTGAATAATAATCGAACACATTTTTAACTCCACATTGCCGCTATAGAATGCCCATTTTTATCGCTCAAATTCGTACTTGTTGTATTGAGAAACTAGCCTAATCTGGGTAAATCTTGGGACACTCGGTATAAAACGTCTTATAATTTCTGTGTAGCCCACTTACGTATTAGCGCAAATTAGTTTAAACTTAGAAATTCTTGGGACAATCAAAAAAATAAAATCTTACCATTAGTTTCCTGTACAGCAGACGGACTTCTTCCAGTAGCGGGTAGCTCTCGACGACCCACGTAAGGTTGTAACTGTCCAATGAGCGGCTGAAAGGCGCACTGCGAAATTCTGCTGGGCTGGGCCGCCCTGCAGAACAGGATCACGCTACGTCAGCGTCGTCCATATAAGCTACACATCTCATCCCACATTTGTTTGTGTTATATTTCAAATCCAGTATCACCTCGACAGATAAAAGTCGACAAACGCAGGACCGTCTTCTATACTATCCTGTCACCCCATCTCCTTTAAAGATGGTGACTGTCTTCTGGGTTGTAGCGCCGTGTATTCTTGTAGAAGGTTACCATCGTCAGAGGTCCTTGTTGCTTCCATAATCAGGGCGATGATTCATTGCTCTGATAAAGGAGGCAATAAGGACCTCTGAAACGCTACGGCGTTACAACCGAGAAGACAGCCATCTTTGGACTCACCGTCGTTAAAATCTCAAATCATATTTGTTTTAAAGATACTCTCATATAACATACGAGGTGCGATCGGAAAGTTTCTAGACTGCGCCTATAAAAACCCGTACACTTATCTCAGGTATTAAATTCATCTATTACCCTCGAAGTAGTTCCCCTGGCAGTGAACACAACGATCCCAGCGCCGCTGCCAAGCCTGGAAGCATCCCTGGAAATCTTTCTTTGTCAGCCTGTCAAGCACCATCTGCGATTCTGCCTGAATCTCTTCTATCGTCTCAAATCTCCTTCCCTTTAGCTGAATTTTCATCTTTGGGAAGAGGAAGAAGTCACACAGAGCTTAGAAAGGAAGTTGGGGTCGGATCTTGCAAGATCTTTGAGCTCCTGACAAAAGAGAAGTCGATTCTGCTTCTGGTCCTCAGACAGGATGCGTCGCATGTGGAGTTCTTCCTTTAGAATCAGCTGACAGGTCCCATAGCCTATCCCAACAATGTCGCATTAGTCGTTGATGGTACGACGTCGATCTTCGTAACTTTTTCGGGCGTTGTGCTCGAAGATGGTCGTCCAGAACGCTCGTCATCATCGACAGAGGTTCGGCCGGCCCTTTTTAAAACGTGAATGCCACACAAAAGTTTGCGGACTCCCCAAATGTTTGCTTTAGCATTTCATAGGTTTCCGTAGCGGTTTTGGCGAGTCTTTGGCAAAATTTGATGCACACGCCATTCCGAAATCGCAGGAGGGTCGGTGTAATGCACTACCAAAACGCCCGTAACTAAGAAACAAATGCTAATTCGATGATGCCGGCTGGCACACTGATTCACTATGAATGTAGGCCGCACCCCCTAGCGGCAGAAGCTCGTACTACATCCGGTTCGCCCGCTATTGACACAGTCTAGAAACCTTTCGATCGCACCTCGTACACAGTATATGCAGTTATGCAACATTAAAAAAAGATAAATTAAAAGATGTGTAATTGAGCAAATAGTTATTTAATTAATATATAATGCGTTTGTGGCAAAAGTGTGAAGAAATTTTATGTAGAAAGGAATAATAAATTACTTGAGTTTAATGTTTCGCATATATAACTGTATTAGAAAGTTTCCTTCGTGACACAAACTGTATTGAAATCTACGAAACGTAAATTAGTATAATCACTGCCATAATTCACAAGATAATAACCCACTAGTAGCGTGCCAGTATGAAAATGTAATGCTGATTTCAATTCATATTTTGTGAAGTCATGTATAAGCCACACAGAACAATTTATATTCAAACGTCAAATAAAATAATATAAAAAGGGCCTACATTATGATTCCGAACATGAATTTTTTTAACTGGATGTGACAAATCGAAATCTTTCATACAAGCGTTATTAATTGGATAAATGGCGTCTCTGAATTACTATCCTTTGAAGGTAGAACCCAAAGTTTCATCACCGCCATAAACAAGTCCGTGTAGTTCATGGTTATACAATATCATAAATTAACGAAAATTCAAGACCTTCACGGCTACACAAGAGAAACGAAAAAACTTTAAACAGAGACTATACAACTTTCCATCTTAATGTTAATATTTTATATTACTTTAGACTCAAGTTTAAGTCAGGCATTTCCCATCTTTTCATATCCACGAGTATTTCTCCACCTGTCAGAATGTTTTTCCTCTGCAGACAGTGAGTGTTATTATTTCTGCATATCAAACCGAATGCTTGATTTCAAACGCCTTAAACTCCAAGCTTTAAACATACATTAAAAGATCCTTTATATTTTCCGACAGAAGGCTCTTCAAAATTTTCTAGTCTCTGACACATCTTCCCTAATTTATCATAATGCTAAGTTGGAACAAACGGGAAATGTAATTTAAACATTATACCATATTATAATAAAGACATACGTCAATACTTTCAGGTTGGTGAACCTTTGAGACTGTATGAACGTTCAAGATTTTATAGACAAATGGTAGAACAAGTATCTATGTTAAAAGAAAAAAAGCTACTAACACCGTGACCCCACAATCATTTTAGAAGTTGATAGTCGCGCTATTGCCAAGAAAGTTCCTGCCACTTTATTACACTCAAAGGTTAATTTTATTGTTCATAACAACTCTCCTATACACCTTCTTTTAGCCCGCTTAAGCAATGTTCACCAATGTCCTGCCACCAGATGTCTTCTCGATCAATTTTAATATCATTCTTCAATATACTTCTGTATCTCCGAAGTTGTCTGTTGCCTCCAAGTTTTCCAGTTACAGTTTTATTCTAATTTGTCTTGTCCCCGTGCGTACTATATGTTCCACCCTTTGCATCTTTATTCAAATAAATAAACAGCCAGCTTACAAATGGTGAACGAATTCATCCTCTGCAGATAAAAACCCACCTATAAATTCTTTAACTCTAAGTAATATTTAATAATTTAGTTCCTACCGCAAAGTAAACACTGCATTTCACGATTACAAAGATCAATCTGTTACAGCTATTTAAGGATTAAACCGTGTTTTTACTGAGATTCATACGAAACAAAAATTGGAGACTTACTAACGTTAAAACAGGTTGGACATATATTTACCAGTAGGCTTGAAACGGTTAAAAACAAAATGTAAAAATCAAAATTTGTTTTTTTGAGGTGTGAGGGCCTGGGGATTCATAAGAGATCGCAAACGGACATGCGACTAAAAAAAATCGAAATCCTTATCACGTTTTCGACAACAACAACGCTTTTAGGCACAGTAGGCAATGTTCTAATACAAACTGTTTTGATATTTTCGTTAAAACATCAAGAATTATCTCTGGCACGTCAACATTTGAAATCATACAGATAGTTTGGACACTGAGGTTCATATATATCGATATTTATCAGCACTGAGATATACACTCAGAGGAAAACACTGTAGTGTATTCGTTACACTTTAAGCCACAATTATCTGTGTGTTTGTCCACCGACATTTATGACTACGATAATAATTATAATTGAATCACTTGACGTGCTTACAGGCGCCAGTTACAGGCTCCAAACGACAAGATAAAATAAGTACAGAGTACATAAAACAATAAAAAAATTAAAACAACATTAAATATACATAATCAAACTAAACACTTTCTTGCATCGAAAAGGTGTCCTCAAAGGATACTTATATGGAATGGCAATTTATTTTGTACTTGAGGATGTTAAAAAAAATGTCACCGTCTTAAATAGTGTTCTATAATTTATATAACATAAAAGCAGATGGCTGTCTTCAGGCCTTAATGATGGAGGCAGCAAGTACCTCTGAAACGTCGGTAAACTTCTACCAGACTATACGGCGCAACAACCCAGAAGACAGCCATCTTCAGACTCACCGCCGTGAAACACCCAAATCCTACAACTTAAAATTAAATCATAAATACGTAAAACACTAAATTAAAAATTAAGATAGCACAAATTGTAATATTTTCATTGTATGTCCCTGTACCATTGAAATCAGTGAATGCAACATTATTTCACATTATTCAATTCAATCCATTTATTTAAGTGCTTGATAACAGCCAAATAAGGCCAAAAACTGTCAAGCACTGAACAACAGAACAGGATAAAGTATAATAATTAAATTAATTTCAATAATAATGAAAGGAAAACATTACAAATACAAAAACAAACAACTGAAATTAAATATTTAAATGTACCATATTAATAATAATAATAATAATTCAATGAAATTCATTTATTGAATAATAATTCACAAGTAAATTGGCTAAATAACATGCCTAAATAATATAATAATTAAATTATAATCAGTTCAATTATAAACAATACAAGATAACATACAAACATTAATAACACAATAAAAATAATTAGGACACACGGTGATTACGGTTGATATTTATATTATTTGTGTTCTCGGTATGTAGTTACGCCCTGTACTTCAATGCATATTTACAGGTTCGAATTTATGAACAATTATTAATATTGATTATTTAACCTGAGGGTTCATGTCTAGGCGAACACAGTACTGGACCGGCATAAGAAGTGGTTCTTGACCACTCTAACACTGGAATCGTGGGTACAAAGCCTTTCGTTTTTTTTCTGTGTTGTTCCGTCCTGTGTAGGCAAACGCCTTACAACAAGCTGATCAGCCATCTGAATCCTTCTTTCATCACCCACAAAGAGCTTCTATCCACAATGATACGAGTCCAGGGGTATTATATACCAGGTTTAGAACTTTGACGTAAATATTTTTAAACTAGCTACTGAGAATCGAAACCCAGCCTTATGGACCGTGGTCCATTAATTTACAGAATTATAATATTAGTTTAAAAATCTCAATGTTTACCGAGACTGAAGTTTTAAAGAACTTCAAAAGGAACCGTGGTAATTACCTTCTCTATATTTTACTTTTATACACGTCGTGAAGGAGGTAGTTAATTGCACTCCAGAGACTGGCATGTAAACACACGAGATTTATCGAAAAGCAACGCACTAATGTTTCCCAAGGCATTACTACAGTTTAAGAGTAAAGTTGATCTAACTCTGATACTCGAAAATAAAATTGTTGGAAACAGTTTAGAAGACTTTATTCCCATCACGGAGAGTTTTATCAGCTAAGGCAGTTAACGGCATAAGAAGCTCATATTCCCAGACTCATCAGCAGGCGTTCGAACCCCTGCACCCCAAACATCTACTGAGTGCTACCCTTTGTCTAATACAGATACGTTAAGTTGTACACGTGCCTAAGCACCCAGGTAAGGTAAATGTCTCTCTCTCTGCTTAAATACCAGGATACTGAGGTATATTGGGGGAGTTTCATCCTCCGGTCGCTTTGTTATGTAGGAAAATACACCTATTATCTTTTGGGTATAAGGTTGGGTGGGATCTAGAACTGGTAGCAGCAAGGAAGTTTGAACTAGGTAAGAATAGATTTTATGTCACGGTAATCAATTACCTAATTACTTAAAACCATCGACTTACTCACTGCAGTTTTTTAAAAGAAGTAGGAAGAGCATATTGGACTGAACAGTGTCAAGACGGAAACTTTATCAAGAAAATATTTGTGGTTTTCTGATACAATGGAGGCTGATAAATGATTATGAAGCTAATGGTCTCTTGTTACCTGACAGTTCCATATACTTCTTAGCACGTCCCAGCGAGTTATCTGCCACACAGCTATAGTTTCCAAAATCGGAACCCTGTACGTTGCGAATGTTGAGCGTATGTTTGTTTCCGCGTGACTCCATCTTACGTCGATCTGTTGGATCCAACAAGATGGTGTCTTGGTACCACATCAACTGAAAAACAAAAAATGTCTTTATGTTAGACACGTCTTATATTCGAAAAATAGATGATGAAAACGTGCAATAATTTTCAATGAAAATGTTAATATCCATCAGAAACAAAAGCACAGTTCTAATATTTCCATGTTTTTACCCCCTGCAGAACAGTTAGAACCACAGCAACCGTCACAAAATTTCGTGTTTCAAGGACACGCCGCAGCGCTGCCATCAATACAGCGTTGCTGGTTTTCAATGCTGCGATTTCTGAGCTGACCTTGCTCGACTGGGCTCACCTCTACGTATTGCAACGTCGTAAGATTCTTCTGTGACCTTGAAGCATGCAGTTTGGTGACGGCTACTATTAAACATAATAAACATGGCAGATAAATTGCCCGTAAATAACTTGCTCGAAGCAACGACGAAAATAAAATAGACCGAACCACTAAAGCAAAACTTTCCTTCCGCTTACTGTTTCGAGTAGTTCGTTAGTCTGTGACGAACGCAGAAGTTTATCGATTTCTTTGACATTTGTAGTTTATTTTATTTCCTGCGTAGCTCTGCGTATTTCGACCTAATAACTTTTAAACTGATTATAAGAAATTCATATTTGTTATGCACGACATGGCACTGGGGGATATCACACTTTCGTCATTTTTAATACACTGTTGTCAGTAATATCAACATGTCGACTGTGACAACGACTATGGTACTATAGTTAATATAGTATATATGGTGAGCCCTGATGACTGAGGAAGCAAAAACCTCTGAAACGTCGGTGAACTTTTACGAGATTAAACGGCGCAACAACCCAGAAGAAAGCCATCTTTTGAATCTGATAACTTTTCCTGAACAGATAATTCTCATAAGCAGTGAATGAATAGAAGGGAAATGGTATCAGAATAAGACAAAAAATAAGAAGAAGAACTGGAGTGTTTCATGGGGCATAAAACAATTGAAGGCGGACAGGTAAGTGCTGTCAGTGACAGCATTGCGCTTTCACTTCGAAACGAAATTTCTTCCTTTTTGTCTCCTGCCGCTTCTCTAAAATGCGTTTCATTTTATTCGACAATAACCTAAGGGACCATTATATTAGCACAGCATCACCTTAAAATAAAGAACTGTGTTTAAAATAAGAGGGGTTTCAACGCCCTAAACCAATGAATTTGCTATATTATATGACTGTCTAATTACAGTTACATTTCCCAGTCGATGCAAGAATTAAAATGTAAATATTTACTTGTATTTTTGTTTGACATTGTAAAAACGTATAACTTCGTGATGCAAGTATTTTATTTAAATTTGACAGTCAATCAACCGAACAAGAAATTATCTATGTTTAGGAAAAGGGGAGGTTAATTACAGTGTTAGAAAACACTGGACACACCAGTTGAAACGACGACACTCATAAACCATGAGATTAGAAAAGTGACGTTTAGTAAATCGATATTTTTCCCATTTCCTCCATTCGTGTCACACATCCAACTCATCTGATTTATCTGTACTTATTTACTTGATTTATATATTTATTTTTATGTGCGAAGGTACATTATACATGATTTGATACTATGTAGACCTATCAGATCGCATACTTCCGGGACTTCCAAGTGTAAGAACCAGTTATTCGTATGGTAATGAGTATCTTATACGTTGTTTTGTATGATGTGAGACTTGGGCTCTTATTTTATGGGAGGGATAGATTTAGGGTGTTCGAGAACAGGGTGCTGGTGGAAGTATCGTGACCTGTGAAATAAGAGGAAGAATAAAATAATTGTTTAATTGAAATCTTAATAATTTTTGTTCTGCACTCGTGTTTGGTGACGATTTATTAGTTAAAGCGCTATCCAGTTTTCGAAGATGGTATAATATTAAAGCGTATCGTACAGAACACCGGCTATCTAATTACGTGTGTATATATTTAAATAAATCTTGACTTATTTTTGACCAATGAATAACTATTAGTTTCTAAAGAAAGACTTTGTTCCTTTGGCTATCTATATTAAATGGCTATGCAGTCTACTTCTCCATCAAATACTTTTATAGCCTGTAAAATAATGTTATACTTTGTTTCATTTATACTCTCACCTAAACGAGTCACGATATTATACTAAATGCCATCCAATACTAAATGTATTCTCTGTCTATAACACTTAAGTTGAGATATAACAGTGTTCTGAGATGTGGGGTACAAAAATACAAGTATTCTTCCAAGGAATTTTTCTAATTCCCAGTGTTTCGTTTTGAATACAACATATTACATCATAAAGCCATACAGGATTAAACGAGAAATCATTTACATATTTTCTTGGGTTTTTTTCATAAATAGTTACTTTATCCACAATACGTATTAAGGGATTCTAGCAAAGGACATATTATACTTGAATTAGTTTTTAAATTCTAATACTGAATTATTTTTTCGAATCATTCCCACGCCTGCGACACAGAAACAAAATTAGTTTTTCATAAACAGGCTAACGCTGAGACAAAGTATCTCATTTCTGAACCAACTAGGCTCGTGATTTTTAACTTCATTGCTACAGATTAAAATTTGATTACGCACAGAACTGAAAACAACGAGGCCAAATAGCTTTTAGAACTTTTCGGTATTCGACTGTGAAGGAAGTAAGGATTTTAGCAACAAAAACAATAATTACTTTCTCTCTGAGGTTTGCTAAGCTGTAGGAGGATTGTCCACGAGCTTTCCTAAGGATAACATTTGCACGTGCGGATAGTCGCAAGGACGTCGCAACATATCGATTTTAGTGGGTGGTAGTAAAAACAGCTTGCAGAGTAGTCGGTGTTCAGAGGAGCAGCTGACAAAGCTCTAGGGAGCTACGTGAATTCTATAGGGAGCGACTTGCTATTTGAAACCACAAGATGGGCCTTTCTTAGTTACAATCTTTATTAATTTCTCCAACAACTTTGATTTATTAAATCATAAGAGAGCTATGGTAAAGGAAGAACTTTCATATTTCATTCAGATTCTGAAGAAACCATTCTGCAGGTCAGGACATAACTGTTTCTCATCACATTAATCCAAGCTCTGAACATCGCGGTTAAACGGTTAACACTCTGGTTTCGTGTTCAAACAGTCCCGAATTCATTTTTCGGTCTGTAACATACAGAATGGGTGGGAAGTAGGCAGGCATTGAGAAATGGTTATAATATAGAAATATAGAGGTTATATCCATTTCTCAATGCGTACTTACTTCCCACCCATCCTGTAGACTATCCTAAGATATTTTTTCTTTCATTGAACTCCTTAAAACACAGGGAAAGTTAAAATAGGTCTCGACCACTTCCTTTCTGTATTCCTCACTCACAATCATACTAAATTAATATTTGTTGTTAAAAAGAGTCTTTAAATAAGCTAACAATAAGTCATTTACCGGAAATTAAAAGTTTATGATAATGTAGTCTTCTCCATCCTTATGCTGTACTCTGTTAAGTCCAAATATTCTTCATAGTACCTCCATCTCTCAAACACCCTCAGTCAAACTGGGATTTTGAATTCTCCTGGTGATGAAGATAATTATTGTGGTATTCTGGGTCGTGATGTCGTTTGATCTTCTCTTTAAAAATAGAGGCGATGCGTTCCTCTAAAACGTTGTTAACTAACTTCAAGGCCACACAGGGTCTCAACCTATAAAACCCCAATAGACACCCTCAGTCTTAGTCCTCAACAGTGTTCAACATATAATAAAATATCATTCGCCATAATCAACAGTTCGTGTTCATTTAGACGACAGAACTAATTAATTCCTCCAGTTATAATTATATACGCTAAGAATTTTGACACTGACGAGATCACAAAAGGTTTGTTTAAGGAGAAAAAACTTTATGTGTCGGTGATTCATCTCTCCAGGCACGTGTCGTTAGTCACCTAACTGAGCCTTAGGCTCTCGGTAAACGCAACAATGTTAACAACTGACTGGTTAAAGTTGACCAACGATGTATTTTATCTGATCTGTCATGCCTTGTTCTAGGGTATCGAGTATCACTGAACCAAAAAAAGAAGGTACTAGACTTTATTTTTCAAAGTGTTCTCCGAGTTAATACAATCAACACGAACGCTACGCCCCTGCTGTACCTCCTTTAAAATTACTTCCAAAAGCTGCCCGATAGTAGCACCACTTGTAAAAATATTTTGGCATCCAGGGCGATTACTGAAATACTGGCAGTCTTGCATAACACACAAACAAAGCCACAAACAATCCTAATAAATACTGATGGATACCGCGATAGGGAACTTTAATCATGCTTAAAATGCAGTGCCTCTTACCACCAAGAGAGACAACTGTTTATGCAGATTGGATAAATTTCTTTTTAGCAATGTTGTGGCGGTAGAGATATCTAATCAATACTCCGTCCTCGGAGTATATAGTGTCATATTGATACGATGTTAGGGAAACACGATATTGGGAAAGTTTATGTGTTAGGGTAGGAGACGGACGTGCCCTTGTCTGTCTGAAAGCAAGGGACCAGCAAAGTACAGGAGAAGGGCGAAACGTGTCAGTAATCCTAGGTTTGTGTTCACTGTATGGCGACTACACACCCCTTCAACATGGGAAGAAAGGGGAAGTATGGGGTTCGTTGCTGGTAGCAGTTTGTAATAATATTTTCTGGGGGATGCAAGTGACTATCTGTGGACACACACGTTAAGAATTAGTCCAGTTCCAAGCATGATTTAGCCTGGAGCTTATGAATTGTTCAAGTATTTTTCTGGATACTAATACACGTGATGCTCTTGTCATATGAATTTCAGGTTAGATTTGTTTTCTAAGAAGTTACATAACTTTTAACGATCAATAACGGAAATACATATTGTTGCACATTCGTTTAATTTACATTTTTTGTAGTCATTTTATGTAGAAATGTAGCTTTATTACGGGGACCATTTAATTTGTTTTCATTAAACCCATACCACCATTTCTATTGTGAAACAATAACGTGTAGTAAAATCCTATTTACGACGGAGTTTCGAACGTGTTGTATCTCTGGAAACATTCTGAATGTGC